ACGGTAACAGGGAGTATATTCTACACGACAGACCGCTCGTATTTATTAGGTAACGAAACGTACTATTTTTAGGAAGCCTAGCTATGCGACTGGCTCTCAGCCAATGTCAGTGATTTTGGTTCCACGGTTTTTCCATATTTGGCCAAATGCACTGCCTCCTTTGGCGCTGACTTGTATTTGCTAGCCAAAACTCTCGCCTGAACTGGCTTGTATTCGTTGGCCAAAAACTCGTGCCTGCTTTCCGAACAGTTTGACTTTGTACCGTGCTCGTGCTTTCACATGTAGCAGACAGCTCACGTACTCCACAGGAAACCCACACACGTTTGCGATCTCGTATTCGGACATTGGCTGGGCCCGCCTCTCTAGCACCTCCCTCTTTCAAAGGACTGCATCTCCTTACCTTTCGCACCTGAGCTTGGTCGTAGCTTTTTTCCCTTGGGTTCACTTGCAGCCACTGCGGCTGTCTTCGTCTTCGACTTGGCTTGCTCGGTATATCACGCGGTAATTGAGCAACCGGTTCTATCCTATTTGAGGCATCAGGTTCGTTTTCCAATCCATATGTATCTAGCAGAATGTCCCACTGTAGTTTTGACGATGCCTGAGGTCTCTGGGTGTTTCCATGTCGTGGCAGTAGATGGTTGACATGCCTGGTCCACTTGTCCTTTCCGACCATTATCTCATATATAACCTTACCCTTTTTTCCGATAACCGTTCCGATGGACCACCTTCCCGGAGTCTGGAAGTTTCGTGCGTACACCAGTTCACCGACCTTAAACCTACGAAGTCTCCCTTCCTGCTCTTCGTTCGTTCGTCCGTTGTGTTTTTCATCACATCTAGGAATCAGGCTATCAAATATCGTTCTAATTTTTCGTCCGAAGAGGCATTCCGCAGGAGACATCCCTTCTGGTGTGTTTGAATTCGGAGTGTTGCGATACATTCTCAGGAACGGTTGGATTATATCTCGTGACACCCTCGATCCTTCCGCCTTAAGAAGAGCCCGTTTAAATGTATCTACGAATCTTTCGGCCTGCCCATTTGATTGTGGATGGTACGGTGGTGAAAACTTGTGCCGAATTCCGTTTGGTGCGCAGAATTCTTGAAATAGCGTAGATGTGAACTGCGGTCCGTTATCCGTAACTAGTGTTTCCGGTGTGCCAAAATACTGGAACAATTTGCTCAGCTCATTGATAGTGTGCTGGGCGGTGGGGTATTGCATCGGAATCACGTCGGGCCACTTCGTGTAGGAATCAACGAAAATCAAGTAGGACTGACCGTTGATTGGTCCTGCGTAATCCAAGTGTACTCGCTGCCACGGCTTCTCCGACTGGGGCCAAGGTTGCCACGGAGACTTTGGAGGGGCCTTCGCCGCCTGCTGACAAGATTCACATCTTTGGCAAAACTGTCCGATTTCTGAATCCATTTAGGGCCAATACACAAAACTTCGTGCCAGCGCCTTCATTCGGATGGTTCCCGGATGTCCTGAATGAAACTGCTGTAGAATTCGGCTCCGCAACTTTTTCGGTACCACTACTCGATCTCCAAACATCAGACAATTACCAACAACCGAAAGAGATCCGCGTCGATTGTAAAAGGGTTGTAGGTCAGCCGAAATTCTGATATTGGGCCAGCTGGATTGCACGAACTCTATCACTTTCGGTAAGAGTTCGTCTTTAGCCGTCTCCACACGAATTGTGTCCGACGTTACAGGCAACTCTCGTACACTGTTAAACAGAATTTGCTGAACTTCTGACTCGAAATTAACAAATGCGACCACACATTCATCGTTCTCCTTCGTCTGGGAGCTGATAAGGCGAGATAGAGCGTCAGCTTGGCCGAGTTGTTGTGTTGAGCGGTACTGTATGCTGAAATCGTAACCTAGCAGTATGGTAGCCCATCTCTGTAACCGACTTGCAGTGAAAACAGGAACACCCTTCTTCGATCCGAATATCGACAACAAGGGCTTGTGATCCGTAATCAGTTTAAAATGTCTGCCGTATAACATCTTGTGGAACCGTTTCACTGCGAAAACGATCGCCAGCGCTTCCTTCTCAATCTGGCTGTAATTCTTCTCCGCCACCGTCAGGAACCGTGCTGCGTGGGCGATAGCCTTCTCTTCTCCTCCTGGAAACAGATGAGAAATAACAGCACCCACACCATAATTGGAAGCGTCCGAAGCGACGACAATCTCCAAGTTTGGATTGAAGTGAGTCAAAAGCAAGTCGGAACTAAGTGCTTTTTTCACTGTATCAAAGGATTGTTGACACTCCTTTGTCCATCGCCATTCTTTCCCTTTCATCAGCAACTCGTTCAGAGGACCTCTTGTCTGATGTAGGCTTGGTAAGAAAGCACTATAATGGCTCACAAGACCCAGGAATGAGCGAAGTTGGGCAACGTCTTTCGGTGGTGGCATCTGCTTGACAGCTTCTATGTTAGCGGGATCCGGACGCCGACCATGTTTGTCAATGAGGAAACCGAGAAACTTAACACTTTCCATCAGGAAATTACACTTTTCCATTCGTAACCGAAAACCAGCTTCCTCTAGACGGGTTAACACTTTCTCCAAAGTAGCCATCAAAGTTTGTGGGTCAGACCCCATAATCAATGCATCATCCAAGTACACTGCGACCCCAGGGATATCGTTCAGGTGCGTATCCATGATTTGTTGAAAAATAGCGGGAGCCGTCTTCACACCAAAAGGCAACCGATTATACTTAAAAAGACCAAGGTGCGTGGTGACCGTCAATAATTTTCTGCAGTTCTCAGCCACTGGAACCTGTAGGTATGCGTCAGCTAGATCGAGTTTGGCAAACCATTTTCCACCGTTAAGCTTGGAGAACAAATCTTCAGGTATAGGCAGAGGGTATTGGTGTGCCTCCAACATGGAATTTAAACCAGTCGAAAAGTCAGCACAAATACGTACCTTACCGTTTCCTTTCTTCACCACAACGATGGGTGCCGCCCATTCCGAGAAATGTACACGCTCGATTATGCCTTCCGACTGCAAGCGATTCAACTCAGATTCCACAATTGGTTGTGTTGCATACGGCACTGGACGTTTTGGTCTGAAAACCGGTCTGGCGTCTGGTTTGAGGTTCAATTCTGCTTTGGCAATACGGCAACATCCAAGAGCGGATTGAAACAAACTTTCATGGCGTCGCTTTAGTTCAGCGATTTGAGTGTAGAGTTCGTGGTTCATATTCAGCATCTGAGCGGGTTTCTCAACTTGTAATTTCTGGCAAATACTGTTTACCGACTGGTCAAGTAAGTTCAATTCGTCCATCCAGTCGAGACCAAGCAAATTCAATCCTGGTTGATCCGTCACAAAACAAGTGTTGCGTATATGCTGATCGCGAAAACTGACCTGACAATGCAACTCCCCGAGCAGTTTCAAGATACCCCCGGATGCGTTTCGTGCTGTGTGGTCTGTGTGGACAAGTGGCGGTCGCCCCAGCATGCACCATGTTTCTCGACAAAGCAAGGTGATATCTGACGCAGTATCCAACTGGAATCTAACTTGTCTACCATTGATCTTCAGCACAGTGAACTTACGCCTGCTGACACCATCAACCTTGAAAGTTGCCGTCAATGTTTTAGCTTCGTTGTGACATCGGGAGCGCACCGGAATTCGACGATTTATTCCGATCACTGTTGATCGTCTTGCAAGACAGCACGACTCCTTGTGCCCTCGCTTACCACAACGGCGGCAAATGTGGTTCCGGAACGGGCAGTTTCGGCCAAAATGCCACTCTCTGCAAAACCAGCAAGGAGAAGAGGGTTTTGAATCTTTTGAACTCACATGAACTGGTTCCTTGTGGGGATTTCGACTGACCCTGCAAATGATGTCCGGGCTGCTCTGGGTGGGCGACTGTTGGATCATCGCAGCATCATGTTTCAAATTCATCAACCGTTGGCATTCATTCGTCACTTCCTGCAGTGTAATCTCTGGATTTTGTTCGATTCTATTCAAGACTCTTGTTCGGGCATCAGCATCTTTGGCCGCCTGAAGACCGCACACATAAATAAGGCACTTGTACTGATCTGCTGACATCTTGTGAAACAGGGACCGTTCGCCCTCACGATTGACGCGACTTGAGTAAGTTACCCAGTCTTCATCGCCTCGCTTGGTCATCGTCAGGCACTTGTAACGGATATTAAATAATGAGGATTGTTCACCAAATATCTGCGACAAAGTAGCAACGGCTTCGTCGAAAGTTAAATCAGTACTTTTCTTCGGTAAGATGAAATTCATGAACTTTGCGTGCTCGGCCGCACCCAATTTCCGTAGCAGGAGACGAACTCTCTTGTCTTCTGGGACAGCTGCTAGATCAACTCGAAACAGATCTTCGTATTTATGAAATCAGGATTCAAACGTAATACCGGCATCGGCATCATAATGGAACTCACCAACTTGTTGGGTCAAGACTTCTTCGAAGGGGCCACGTTCACTTGCACCTGTTACCGAGCCCGCTTGTAGAGACAAATTCTTGATCAGTGTTTCGATCAGTCTGGCCTGAGCCTTCTCAAACTGCGCTTGCTGCTGTTGTAACAGAGTCTGCAACAGTTCTTGCATTTGTGCAAAGGGGATTGCCATGTTTGGGTTCGACTTGTTAACTCTGCGTCGCCACTGTTGTAGTACTGTTTCCTTAACACGGAACCTGCTAGGCTACGACCGTCTGACTATCCAGTCCCGCACCAGCCAACCAACGGGATACAGAAAAAGGCCAAGACTCGGTAACAGGGAGTATATTCTACACGACAGACCGCTCGTATTTATTAGGTAACGAAACGTACTATTTTTAGGAAGCCTAGCTATGCGACTGGCTCTCAGCCAATGTCAGTGATTTTGGTTCCACGGTTTTTCCATATTTGGCCAAATGCACTGCCTTCTTTGGCGCTGACTTGTATTTGCTAGCCAAAACTCTCGCCTGAACTGGCTTGTATTCGTTGGCCAAAAACTCGTGCCTGCTTTCCGAACAGTTTGACTTTGTACCGTGCTCGTGCTTTCACATGTAGCAGACAGCTCACGTACTCCACAGGAAACCCACACACGTTTGCGATCTCGTATTCGGACATTGGCTAGGCCCGCCTCTCTAGCAGTCGGTCCTTCTCAGCAGTGCTTTTGTCGATGCGGATGAGTTGCCTCACTTTCACTCCGTCCTCACTCACCTCAAGGAGCCTATGAACCAGGCGCTGTAAATACTCAATGTCGTGTACACAGCGTGCCTGAGGACTTGGATTGATGGACTCAGACACGTGAAAAAGCATCAGGTTTGATCGCCTCTTATCATTTGAAGCTGTTCTTGCGGAAGGAAGGTGGCCTCGAGCTGTGCTTGACCTGATTTGTTGTTGGTCAGTAGCAAGAAGCCTCCTTTCGTTTCCCAGTTTCTGTCGTCGAGTTTTCCATGGCTCGTCAACCAGTAGACATTCATCTGGGTCAGTGAATCATTAGCCTTAGTTGGTGTCGTTCCTCCGGAAAAAGTAGGATGGAGAAGTAATGAGTTGTCAGAAGGAGGAAAGTGGAAGGTTAAGTTGAACCCTGGATGGAATTCAGCCAGTTTTCGAGAAAAAAGCTTTTAGTCGTGAGCTGCATCGGTAGATGGTATACGTTTATCTGGCTGCACTAGATTGCGACAATCGTTGCATAGAATGTGGATGAAAGCATGTCGAATGGAACACAAAAGACGATAGGTATCGGCTAGTAATCCAACACACGAAGTACAAAATCAAGCACAGCAATCAAAGCACGTAAGGACATTCGCAGTGTTTCCAACAATTTTCGAACAGGATCAACAAGGTGGAAGTGAAGGTGTCAGTAATAGCATGTTTTCGCTTATCCGTCCTGCTGTACGTAGTAGATAAGACGAGCCTATATAAACTACAACACAGCCGATGCAGGATACAGTTGGGGTCTGATGAAATGGTGTTGGTTGTACGTGTGCTGAAATAATTCAAACGCGCCGAGACCTAGACAGGAGGATGACTAAGGATCTAAACAAAAGCCTGTCCGTAAGAAAGCAGGCAGATAGCAATGATTTAGTTTTATAGAAAGTGACGGCATCCCGCTTCCAAACCCCAACCCGGTGGATCAGAGGACTGAGTTTGTCTGTTTCCTAACCATTGACCAACCTGGTAGGGATCCGAGATCATTACCCAGTATAGCTCAATGGGTCGAAGAGATACGCAAACAGTCGCACTACGCTAAGGCCAAGTCTCAGTGAGACAGCTTATCTGCGTCAGCTATTAAGCGTGCTGAGCATTGCCTTCAGTCGTTTTGGCTATGCTTTGCACCAACAAAATACAAAGTCCTCATCCACTATTGGCAGGGGCCCACCTCTGCGAAGACCCTTTGTGGCAATCAACTAGAAGTCGTCGAGGAATGCAAGTATCTAGGCAGCAGCATTAGCGCCAATGGAACGGAAGATGAGATCACGAACCGTATAGCAAAAGCATGAGGCGCTTTCATCAATCTCCGCAATCCGCGGCGCCAACGTGACATCGCTCTTGCCCCGAAGGGCAGAGTTTACAATACAGCCGTTCGTTCAACTCTCCTATACGATTTTGAAACCTGGCTCGTCAAATTGACAGATACAAAGAGGCTAGTCACGTTCCATCATCGCTGCCTTCGCAGCTTAGCTCATGTCTGGTGGGAGAACCCCGTGAGTAATGAGCGTGTTCGGCGTCGTGTATTTGGTGCAGGAAGGGTGGATAGACCACACAGCACCAGTATATCACGCAACAGGCTCCGATGCCTGGTCCACGTGTTGCGCATGTCGATCCACGACTACCCCATCATGTGTTGTTTGCGCGATCAGGGTGTGGGTGAAAGAAGAGGGGTGGCCAAGTGATGACCTGGTCAAGAAGTATGAATAGCATCACTTCGGACTTGGCGTCGGTTAGTGTCTCTCGACCGCCGGACTGATTGCATAAACTTGTTGATATGGCGAACAGCGACTTAAGTGGCGCTTATGTTGTGAGTACCTTTGTCCCTGCCCCCCAACAACAATCCCCGTGTTGAGGCAAAATATTTTACTGAATAGTATATTACTTGTTGGGTTTTTGTAATGGCGAATGTTTTACGACAAGTTCTTTCATACATCTCACCTTTTTATTGCGGTACAATAGCTGGTGTTTTTCTTACCTTTAGCTAATGTGTAGTGATGATGACTTCCTCTTCGAGTATGCAGCGGCTGAGTGCAACCATAATGCATTTCAGCAAAGTGGAACAAGAGAGAACGAATAACATATATGACACGATGCATGAGAACTAAGGCACAACAGATAGTCGGATAGGATATATGACCAAAAGAGTAAGAAGGAACTGAAGGAGAGGCTGGCTTATAGCACATTTTTATTGTGAAGGACTGGGAAACATCTGTCTTGGTGGATAGATGCACTAGTGAACGTGACGAATCACACAAGTCGTTGGGGGTACTGTATTCGGTACCTCACCTGCAGTTGCCACCATCTTCATTCTAATAATCAGGTACAGCGTCTTCAACTGCAATCTGATCGAGTGCATATATGCTTGCATATCTACTATTTGTACTATGTTAATAGGAGCAAAGATAATTGGGTCCGCTGCACTTCCAGGATGAATAAAACACAAGTGAGGTACATGCACAATTCAACAATCGAATGGCTAGTCGCACATAACCAGAAGGAATCCACAAACTAAAATGCAACATTTAGGTAACGACGAAGAAGTTGAAGTATGGGATTTAAAGTCAAGTTGTACCAGTAAGGCATTAGTTGACCAATGCAAAGTAAACGATGGTCGGCCATCTACATGCGAACAGGTATAGAGGGATAATATGCGAGCGGATCTGGAGTGGGTTCAGTTGAAACATCACCGTAACCGTTTCATGTGCTGACAACTGCATGCAAACAAACAAACTACAAAGTGGAGTGGGTGCGTACCTCAAACCGAAATACTTCACAACAACCCTTAACACAAATATCGCAAGTGCAGTTCTCACAACAAGACTTACAGCTTCATAAATTAGATCGTCGTAAAGCGAAATTACGGCCCGAAATGGAGACCTAACGTGGTGAAAGGGGAAATTAAGATGCAGACTAGTAAAAATACGAGAGCAGTAAGTGAATTTTAGAAATTCAAGTGCGTGAGTCGCAAAAAGACTCAGTCACACAACTAGCCCAAAGCAGGGAAAGCGATGGACGGCTGTTTCATCCCATTCACCTATCACAAGCAGGTGGCTTTCGGGGGTCCCGTTGGAATCGAACTCAAGACTTGGGAATGTGAAAGTCAGGGACTTAAGCAGTCGGGTCCGAAGTCGCGGAAGAGTGCGTTGCTTGACTGCTTTAGTAATAGGAATACAAAGCGCCTCCTGCTGAACTGTCATATGGGGATCCCTATTAGGAACATGTGGGTCAAAAAAGGATGGTGCTATATAGAGAGAAGTTGAATCTAGTGGGGCCTCCAAAGTGACCATGTGCGCTGTCATAGATAGTAAAAAAGCACGTTACTCGTAGCAACGGCTGTGTCTATGACCCAGTGGAGCAAGCTGTTGACATGCAGGTTTGTGTGAGTGTGAGTTCCGATTCCGCAGCGTTCGGGAGTTGTGTGCTATGCATGGATGAAAGTAGGTTGAAACGACCGCCCAGTGTAATTCTGATAGCACAGTTGCGGTGAAGTTAAGTCTAGCTGAGGCACCGCCACTTGGAAATGCATCACCTTAGTAGGACGAACCGTCGTACGCGTCAGGAAGGTGAAAAGGCGGGGCACGGTTCTAATGCTTTAAACCGCAGCGCTTACTGAGTCAAAGATGATAGTAATAAATATATGCTACCGTGTAACTGAAGGTAAAAGAGCATAAGCAATAAAGAGTGCAAATGGGATTAACGTCAAGGACACGCACGTAGGAGAGCCCAAAACAACACGATTCGTTTGTGAATCCAGGGATTGGGGGTTCAACTCATCGCAGCACGAGAGTAGATGTTCAATATGAGAAATGAATCGCGCCTGAAACGAAAACGGTGTGAGAAGAAGGAGGGAAAACTAACACGGATGAGTCGGGGTGAAAAAGCAAGAGATGCTTAAATAACCATGTTCGAACTAGAGATTGCGAAGGATATTAGTTGAGAAGCATTGTAACGGAGCTAGAAAGTGGAGTCGACGGACACAGATTCTTTGTTAGAGACATTAGAAAGCGAAGTGGCTCTGTGGGTTCAAGAATTAATCAAGGAAGCATTTCAGTAAGCAACATTGTGATGTTCGCCAATCGAACGCCGATTTACGCATAGCCTGTCACCTCAAAATCAGAACAAGTTGGGTCGTAATGACTACAGTCAAGGGAAGTAAACAAACCTTAATTAACCGCATCAAAGTCGACTACTCATGAGTAAAACAAAATATTCGCCCTAACACATCTTAAATGTTGTCGTACATAGCTGCTATTAGTGGAAGTCGTGTATTTTGGGACCAATTCTGTCCTGTGCAACGTTAGTAACTTGCGTGGCAAGGGAGAATAAGAAATGCTAAATTGTGGTTAGCTCGAAAATCATGGCGGTCTGCCGCTATCCCCAATGGCTCAGTGGCATAAGTTACTGGTTGGCGGTTCAAGCCGCTTGTGGTTATGGGTTCGAATCCTGATGGATCCGGTGGATGCGCACTGCTGGCGAACCCCAACAGGTCGAAAGCACAGTCTAGTGCTTCCTCGGATATGTGTAAGGCTGTTTGAGCGACGATAAAACCTCAGTACAAATACTAATGAGTGAACAGCAATCTTTGAACATCTCTGTATATCCCCATCAACAACAGGATGTAGTTAAACGAGTGTAGAGGAAAAAAAGGGCTGCGGAAACTGCTGATCAAACCGGACAGCTAGAGATCAAGTGAACACATGAGGAATGTACGAAACTATTAACAAATTCACAGTGGCCAATCATGGACGATCCAATAACAGTGTGAAAAGGCTTAAAATGCAACATAAATCGTTAACTGAATGCCGTGGCGGCGCTACACTGCCGCGCGACCACCACCAATTGCGCGCGGGCTGAGTATGCCGCGAGGACACCCGCCCCTAAGCAGATTCGAACCGGTAACCTTGTGATTGCAAGCGAGGCGTGCAGACCACTCGACCACCGGCCGAAGTGGAAAGGGTTAGAGGTGAACGTAAAGCACACACATACAAGACAGTAGGCTATGGTCAAATGGATGATCTGGACATTGTTCAGAAAATGTTGTAACAATGTGACAACGCCATGGAAATGGCGACATCAAACAAGGTCCATGAGGCGTCGGTTACAATCGACTCAAACTGAAGTGAGATCAAGTATCGATAAAGGTGTGGAGGGGATGGGGTCATAAACAAGCTGTGAAGCATTGGACAAAGATGTAGGCGTAGGGAGCAGTCAGTAATGCACATATAAAAGGGGGTAATCTAGGGTGACCGAAATATCCAGACATTTGAAGACATGGTTGAAGACATGGGTCATCGCAGCGTCGAAGGCCACTGAGCAAACTGAAGAGTGATAACCGAGAATATGTTTAAGAGCAATTCTCCAAGCAATGCGAAATCCCGTACAAACGTATACGGTCAGAAGTGGACTGTGCGGAAATCGGTAAGGGCGAAAAACGAGTAAGGGTTGAACAAGGGAAGATAGATCGTCAATGATCAAATTGCTGCAATGTTCATCTGAGGTAAAATGTGGGGAGCCAACTTGCCGAAATTCACGAGAGAAATGAGTTCGAACGCAGGAAATGTAGGATGAGTAAAAGAGGTACTGATTGAAAGCAAATACATAAGAATAATATGAAGTAAATACTGAGTCACTTAAGAGACTGACGACTGTAGGCAACGGTAGAAAGCAGCGAGCTCATAACGTACAATTAAGCTTTTTTCATTTCAGTGAAAACAAGTAGCAAATGGATCCATCAGATAACATGTAGGGATCGGATAGGAGAGTGAATCAGTGTGAAAATGTGAACAATTAAGCAATAGTAACCTTCATATATTCGGTAAGTTGGCAGTGATGGAAGAAGTAACACATTCAAACACGCGAAACCGAGCGTAATATAAACATATAATAAGAGTATAAGTAAGCATTTAAGCGCAAAGTACAAATGAGTTACAAGGTGCTAGAGAGCCGAAATACGAGAAATCGAAGCATCATCGCGCAACTAGTATACATGGAAGTAACAAAGGAAACCGAATGCGTATAAAAGTTTACTGAATTCGAGTTAAACAGGATACAAGGGAGCGGAAATACACAGGGGTAAAAGTGAAGATAACAATGGGGAGGATGAGACGGAAAACCGAGATATGGCGTACAAAATTTTGCAAGCAGCGGGAGTTAAAATGCACACGTTCCATGGTTGGAGGGGAGTAGGGTTATTCCAGTTACTGTTCCCCGGTGTCAATGTATTTTGAAAGGTCGAAACTGAGCACTCGACTGACTAAGCAGTTAGCCTCCTGAAAAGGAGAGAGAAATGCAAGAGGTTGGAACAAGATTTGGCGACACAGTAAAAATTTAAACCCCGAATTGAAGAAGTCGCAGCAAACAAACGCTGATCTGACCGCCACAAAGAACCTGAATCGAAAAGCGTTAAGTTGGCTAAAGCAAAATGTCGAATGCAAAAACGTCCAAGGAAGCAAAAGAGCGACCATAGTGGCCTAGACACATGTCATGGACGCCAACCAACCGGCAGGCTTGTCGTGCTCTGTTTGATAATACGGCGCCTAGGTGGATGAAACTTCGAGGTCAGTCGACAATATAGTAGATAAGTATGAGAAAACTGGATCGGGTTGACGCTTGATAAATGTGGACATCGAGATGACGTCGCAGCAGCGATTAAATATGTTGTCGGATCAAACTTACCATACGGAGTTGGTGACACTCCTGCAGTTAGTTCCTTGTTTCCGGATCTTAAGTATGCCACCCGATGATGCTAGTAGTTGCATATTACTTTGTGTTATTAACAATATCGGCATCATCATGATCATTTCGGAGAGGTCATGGAAACAGGACTCACTACACTTCAATGTGCGCAGTTTGGTTAATAAACTGAGCTGAACCAAACAGAAAAAGCGCCGGATTCCACACTGAGAAACAACCGTGCACAGAAAATGTAACTGGCATCCAAATAAATATTTCAGATGGAAAACATAAACAGTCTAAGATGTGTCGATGTTCGCATGAATCTATAACTTAATCAAGGCCAATGGGTGGTCATCTGGAGAATTGTTCACAATATATTTTCTCACCAAATATTTATCGCAAACCAGGGGCCTCAGGAAAGTCAGCTTTGTAAGAGAACAGTGATACAGAGATGTCTGAGCTGCAAAACATTAAGTGTCAATGGCATTTCCTTGGGCACACAGGCCGGATAAGAGTGACGCACCGGACAGATCGGAGAATCCGCGCTAATATATCTCATCAGACTAAAAACTGCGGAAAGTATTAGTTCACCACAGAAATTCAAAAATGACCCGAAGAGCAAAGCAGTTGATTAAACTGTTGTTGCATGAGTTGGTATGAAGATAAGATGTAAAGACAGTGGAAAAATGAAGAAAATGTGAGAACACAAAGTGACCAGAGGTAAAGTCATCCGATGAAAAGGGACGGTAGCAACATGCTAAGGAGGATAATTATATTTTTCAATGGCGTCGTAAGCTGCCATGGTGAGTGAAGTATAGGAGCCTGAGAAACGGAATTTCGTGAATAGAGAAAGCGCTGCACGTACCCACTCCGAGGCACGACTGTCTGAAAATACCCGTCGCAGGCTTTTGTTTCGATAGACTAAGATGCAGAGCGCCCAGGCAAATGGATTGGCATTGAAACCACGCCCAGAGCGCACGAGTCAAAAGGAAAACAAATTTATCACGGAGTGTGGGAAAATAGTGTCAGCTGTATGTCGGTGAGCCCATATCACGCCACCACCGCCATTGGCGCACGGGCGAGGAGTCATACGATGTTGCCGGCACCTACGCAAATCCCAGTGGATGAGGATCGTAGGAAGCAAATGATGGGGCTAGTATTGCATGTCAATGGATCAGAGAGTAGAAAATGCAAATTAATGTCTCTCGTTGAGATACATCAAGATATCAACGGAGTATATTTGACCGTGCAACTGAAATAACTAGTAGATATGGCTCAGAGTAACTGAAAAAGTGTCGTCCAAACTGGTTCAACAGATGGGAGAGTTGTGCAGGAGTGCTTATCAGATCAAGATCCAGTCGCTTCGCATACTACAGAATCGGAGCGAATATCATCAGCACATTTTAAATGAGCAGCTAACGCTTAATCCCAGGTTACAAAAATCGTCACATCACCCAACCGCGAAGATGTTGCCAATTCAGGTGAAGGAGAGGAGGAAAACGTTCCGCTGATGATACCGTTAGTTATGAGCGAATCAGTGCATGCACCGCATGACAGATAAATGACCATTTAGTACATCCACCCTAATGAACGGTGAGCGACCCCGTAGCAAATTCTAATTCGTTAATATTGGACAGGGCGTTAAGTGAAACCGTAACGAGGAAGCTGAAGCTTATATGCATTTCGATATGAGGTTATCTATACCGACCACAGAGGCTACAGCAGCTTGTCGTGTAGTGAGTTGAGGTGTAAAAAGGAATGAAAGAGAAGAATAGAGGAACTAAGGAGAATACTATTACATATGGATAAGCAGGTAGGATTCAGTCAGAATGTGGCATCTTTTAGTGTATGGGTTGTACTAGGAGTTCTCATTACACAAGCGGAATGTTTGCGCCCATTTATTGCATAGATTATTTCGGAGAAATCCTATACGTAAGGCAAGTGTGCATCAGTTAAATTAAAATGCAAGAAAGCGGTAAATGAGAATCAGTTAAAACGTTACAAACGTCAGCATCGTCACAAATGCATGTTAGCTGAGGATGAGAGATACAACTCAATCAATGTGCCGCCAAACAAAAAGATAAGATACGAAAAGAAAAGCGTAATGTAATGTGGTATCATATTACGTAGCACGTATGGGATCGTGCTAAAATTGGAAGGGACAAAGAAATTTACAACACAAACTCAGGTTGATTAAACTACATTTCAACGCTACAAGCATTTTGACAAGCTGTGGATTGACTGTCCACTCTCGTTACGCAGTCTCGCTAACACCCGACCTCCTGCTGTCCGTTTCTCGTATCAGACGAAATAAATTCCAATGGTTACTAGCGGCCGCAGCCACTTGCATCCCCGACGCACGATAAGACTACCAAGCTTCGTGGTCTTTCATCAGGATACCATGCACTGTTGCCCTGGGATCTGTGAGAGTCTCATCGTGTACATTTGCAGTCGGAAAACGTCGGCGAGCGTCTGCGTGACTGATAGGGGACCGCGACGAACCACATGTAAAAGAGTGTCTAAAAGTTCAAGCGACTGCATAGAGACCCAATATCCCGGTTGGCAGTTTGATATGCCACATGATGACAGGTCTAATGATAGTAACGTCTGCCGAATATGCGACCAACGATCTTCAACTGTGTTCAGTGGATGCTTACTCAGCCCGGATACCAGCACACTTTGATACGCATCCAGAATACCTGGTTTCGCCAATTGGCTGGTATTTATGTGCTAACAGCGTCGTTGCAGATATCCGCCGAAACGCACTCGTAGATCGGTATGTACAAGAACGTGGTTTGAGTACACGCTCGTGCTTCAAATCGAACGACAGTACTGGACACAGTCAATCCAGCGGTTATGAAGGTTACAAACAATGCGCGTAAGGTGACAAGTAAAAAAAGTGGCTATGACGCTAGTGAACGAATAGGCCATGTATATTGGGTGAAACAACGAATGCCAAATAAGTGAGGTTTGCGGAAGTTCCCATTATCGCAGCTGCACTAGTGTGTAAGCACTATGGAAGGCTGAAGCTAAAAATAAAGAAAACGGAAAGTCACACTTGGATTCGTGAATACTGGCCGTGTGTTTGAATGATGGGCACATAAACTCAAGTCTGAGAACCATTCATTTGCAGGCGGATCGCATCATTTAGGTCCCCGTCCACCGTGTCCGAAGTGAATGCATTCCAGGTGATGTTGTCTCCGAATGCTGCAGTGTTAGGAGAGCGCGATAAGTAAAGTGGAGGAAAGTTTACACATCAACCCAAACGCAGAGCAACAGAAATAAATTCAAAAGGCGAATGGTGGAAGGGAATGGAGCATATGGGGAAAAAACTAACAAAAAAAGACTCACAATATCTGGATAAATCCCAATCAAACTGTCAGCGCGACTATAGAACTCCTCCTTTAAAGATATAACGATAATCTGAGCGCGGGCCGAGGCATATTCTCTGATAAAACTGGCGACCTAAAGAGAAAATAGGGGGGTCAAATTAGATCTGGCGTGACAACAAAGGCAGAGGCATCCGCCGCACGCCGGCACATTGTATCGACGCATTCCTGCCACGCAACCATCGCTCGTAGCGCGCGACAATGCGAGGCCACCCGAACTTAGGCAGATTAAAACGCGCAACCGTCGGAATCATCATCAGTACACAATAGCTGAAGGTGAAAACAATATTCGGTTGACTGTGACGCAATACAAAGAGAATGTTTTTGAGAAAACAATAAACAAAACATTACAGAATACAAAAACTAGAAAGCAAATAATATAACACTAAGTGTCATAGTATCCATGCGGTGTGAGATCGTTGATGCAGCATGAAGATAAGCGGGAAGGGGAGGGACAGAGAAATTAAAAACACAAAAGTCACTGAGGTCCGATCTTCGCCATGTCTATTAATGTATCCTATCAAACGTGTTCATCGTCCTTGGGAGCCCACTCCGGCGACACCAACCGAGGCCAAGTTCGAAGTGAGGGCCTTCATTCCACTTGACCAAGGCATCGCCTGGCATCCCCTCCTCTTCTTCCGTCCACACTCCGGCGCGCAAGCAGCGCACGTCGTGGGAGTCGGTGTGTTGGCATGCGCAACACGTGGTTGAGCGGTCCATTCATCCATCGTGCACCAAATACGCGAGGTTGAACACACAGTGTCCCCAACAAAGATGAGCGAAGCTGCGAAGACATTGATGGTCAAACGTAGGCTTTTTGGGTCTATCGATAGATGGGACAGGTTTTGCAACCGTACAAGAGGGTTGAACACAACGCTGAGTAGCAAACTCTGTCCTTCAGGACAAAAGTGATGTCGTGCCGCTGCCAGAGATGGCGAAGATTGGTAAAAGTGTCTCGCGTTTTTGTTAAACGACTTGTAAGCTCATCTTCTATTCTACCGGTACAAATATAGCTACTGAAGTAGTTGATGTTTTGGACCACTTCTAGCTGACCCCCCCTTCCCAAAAATCAGGGTAGGAGTGGGTTCCTTCTAATCTTGGAAGATTTTGAATTTCGAGGGTGTAAAGCGGAGCCCAAAACGACTGACAGCATGAGTATGTATCTTATCTACTATATCCAGTGTTGTGCCCCACGCTGAGGCTGATGTTGCATTCATGATGCTTTTTCACTGCAGTTGGGCTAAACCAATCTACACTTAAACTAGGTCTTTTTAAGCTGGATAAATTTCATTCCAGTTTATTTAGTTTGTCCTGTGTACTTGATAATCATCTCCCAACTTGCACACGTCGCTCATGCAAATTGTGGTAAACTTGCGTAATTGTATCGCGTGGTATTTTTTAAATAACTCGGACATTTTGTACTTATCACGGATTCACTTATAACCAATTTCTTCCATATGCTCATTTAGCGAGTATTTATGTCGTCATATGCGTTTATTTTATTCGATATCGGTATTTTGAGTGACTGGCTGTTGTTTGACATCCCAGGTGTGGCTGCGCTTGATGTGCATGTTGACAAGGTGCCTACCTGTCCATTGCCCACTACCTCGTCCATACTGGCTCCAGGAGACAGTTGGTCGTTGATGGAGGGGACGGGGTGCACGGTCCTTGTGGTCGTGCTAGGCTCGAAGAGTGGTTCCATGCAGTCAGTGTGGAGCGGACCACGGTCCAGCCACCGCCATGTGTGCACTCGATTCCCCAAATACAGTGTGCTTGTGTTTGCCTGTGAAGGAGTGTGGGCCGGCTCCGTTGATGAAACGTGGCTCCCATCACCTGCCTCCCGGTCTTATTCCTTCGGGTTTACACTGGATATGGGGTGTGTGGATGGAGCCGTGGGTGGTGCATCGCAAGCCATCCATGGTCCCTCTGTAGGCACAGGCGTCCTGTGGCTGGCCACAGTGACAGGCAAATCCGAAATCGGATGCCGCCAACCAACCATGTCCAGTGTTGCTGGGCATATTTTGGAGCTGTCACAGATTGTCGTCGGCATATTCCAAGGCAGGAAGTCGCAATACATATCCGTCGGAATACAAGGCTGATGCCTTATCCTTTCGGCTATCGGCCGTACAACAAACAAAGCAATGCAGTGAAACAAACAAGAAGGCAAAGCGTTTCTAATTCGACATGTGACAAGCGCTACATCACGCATTGGATATCGGCATTGTGGGGATGAAAATGTTAGCGGAATGACTTCCCTAAACCACCGTAGGATGCTTTTTACAGCTGTTGGCCGGTCTTCGGTAGTCGAGCTGGTGGTGCCGCACTAAGCTACATGGTGTATTTGAACTGCCTGCGCTGGTCACTTGTTGTTCTACAAGTGCCTCACGTGAAATTGGTGGAACTGGTGCATTGACATATTAATTCACTACTAGATAAGAATAGAATAGAAGGGCGTCAGAAACAAAGTAAAGTCCGAAAAACACCGTCAATCAAGTGGCTGCGTCCCACCCCATAAAATGTATACTCACTGAGGTAACCAGTCGAAATCATCATCAAAGAAGATGACGAGCAGCAGTCCGATACAGTCTAACCGGACGTTTTCTAATGCTCTGATGCTGCCCCATCGACCAGCCACTTCGGAGTTTCACCCAACTAAGTGCAGCATAAATGACGTTAGCAGCGTTGCGAAGGCTAGAAACAAGCCAACGTAGGTAGTTACAGATTAAAAGATATCCTACCGTAAAAGCAAACGGTCTAGTGCCAGAGGCCGAACATCGAAAATTGTTGTTACTTACACGGTATTGCCACTAGACATAAAGGAAAATTAGCCGGTAGCATTGGTCAACTAATGACAGTTTCTTGATGTCTTCGAAAACAACAGGTCATTTTCTGGACACATACAGCTGTTCTCTCGACAAATAAGCCTACGTCTTACCGTATCCACAGATGGAGGAGCTTTAGGAACAACAACAGAAGTTTCCGATATGCACAGCTGTAACCAAGATCATATCAACAAGTAAATCGAAGGACTAGCTTTAGGGATGTCTGATGATTTTATCACTATTTTGATCACGATATCAAAGAGTAATGGAGAGATAGCGTTGCTTTGAACTATTACACTTGTCACTGTTAAATCGGGAGACCGTTTGTCATATATGCTCACATGGGATGTGTATGATCCACAGAGGCGCTATCAGCTATGTGCGAACAACTAAAGGCAACCTTTCGATCAAAGAAAACCTCATGAGAAACCAATCGCACGCTTGATGCTGGTAAGGTATGGTGTACAAATAACGTTGAAGCCAATGTTTTTCACTGAGGAACAGTTAGCCGCCGCATAGGCGTTGAAAATATTGTGATTTGTGAAATAATACAGATTTATGAGACATTTCGTGGACACCAAATTGGCCCATTAGGCATATTATGAATAGGCGTACCAGTGAAACTGCAGCACATCAGTCTCGGTAGTAAGTTGGCCCTCACGGTCTACTTGTAGGCACTGCGAAACCAACTGTCCACCTTGGGTCGTTACATTTGGCCCACCCAGTGAAGCAGAAGTTTGTCTTGCGACACTTGAAACAATTCAAGGCAGCCGGCTCAGACGGATTTGCACGGGAACTGTCCAAAAGATGGTGGCGCAGTTAGCATCAGTCCGCTAACCTCATTGCGCTCCAAAGGCTAACATGAAGCAAAGGTGCCTACATCCTGGAGTGAGGCAATCAATTGCCCCGATTTTTAAAAGGGGGCTCTCCCGTTATGCGCTAATCACCGGGGGATCAGTCTCATCCAAGATAGTGACATTCACTCTACTTAGCAAACTATCCCCGAATGCTGAACCACAGTGCCAGGAAGAACAAACAGGCTCTTGTCGTGCCATGGTATTATCACTCGGGATCCAAAGAGTAGACAATCATCTTCTAGACCAGCTTGACAGCAACATAAGTATTTGGTTGTTCAGGTGACCATAGTCATCGGATAATCTTACGTGGCAGTGCATGAAAGAGCGCGAGATTAGAAGCCAAGTCGGGTAAAAAACGACTGTGATGAGTCACCATCCAGAGAAATGATTGCAGTTCGTGGATGTTATGTGGTGTCAGCGAATCCAGAATGGGTTGGATTTTCCACGTAATCGATGTAAGGCATGTTTGTCCAAATAAAAGCCTAGATACTTAAAGCTATGGGAGAAAAAGACATTCGGATTCTTTGAGTTAAAGTCCACTCTCATGGACACGCTCCAAGGCAGTAGTGAGTGCCGTCAAATGTTCGTAATCAGTACTGTCAGCAACCAAGATATCATGAAGTGAGCATACATTCCAAGTATAACATTCACTAACTTATCTACAATCCTTTGAAAGCGCCGGCGCGGAGTATATTCCGAACGGTAACCAGTTACAGTGAATCAACCCCATGTAGCTAATGATACTCGCAAATTCCTTGGCAGATTCATGAAGCTTCATTTGAGAATAAACGCGGTTCATAACAAGCTTGGCGAACTTTTGTCCACCCGACAAGTTCGCACAGCGGAACAGTATAATATATGGTTGGCGGCATCCGGTTTCGGATTTGCCTGTCATTGTGGCCAGCCACAGGACGCATGCGTCTCCAGAGGGACCATGGGTGACTTGCGCTGCACCACCCACAGCTCCAACCACACACCCCATATCTAGTGTAAACCCGAAGGGCTAAATCAACTTACACTTAAACTAGGTCTTTTTAAGCTGGATAAATTTCATTCCGCTTTATTTGGTTTGTTCTGCATACCTGAATAATGTTCTATTGACTGGCCTCATTACTTACGCTAATTGCCCTTATCCTCGGTAATTTTGTTGCGTTTGTAACATTTTAACTAACTTTTGGACATTTCTTATTTATCGGGGATTCGTTGCTAACCGACTTAATTCATTTGGTAATTTAGGGGAGAGTTATGCCACGGTATCTGTATGCATTATTGGATTCATTTTATTTCAGCTTGTCGTTTAAATTGAATGGCTGTTGCTTGATATCCCCGGTGTGGCTGCGCTTGATGTGCATGTTGATAAGGTGCCTACCTGTCTATTAACCACTACCTCGTCCATA